ACGCCACAATCCCTTCTCCTCCATTCTCCTCAAGATCTTAGGCACACATGCACATGTGCCCAGCGTGAGTTTAAGTCACCGGGTCCGGACTCAAACCACGGTCGACTATGTGGGAGTTCAGTGACATAGCCATTACGCTAACTGCTGGTCCTGGTGGAACTTTATTTTCAAAACTGCTTGTAATTGGCTTTTTTTTTTTTTTGGTGATTTATCTCATTATTAGTAAATATTAGAACACAGATACTTCTTTTATGAGATGAGGTAAAATTATGTGGGAGAAGTTTTGTTAAAGGGTGAAATGTTTTTACTGTTGGAGTATCCATATAATTTACATGTTGATATCACCAATTTTTAAAAAGGAATATATGGGGCTAACTCATGGTGCGATGGCAAAAGCAGCTGGATCCTACATGGTCAAGCGCAACATCTGAGTCCTGGACCTGGTGGCTTGAGAAACAACTAGGCTTGTGTGTGTGAGGGCACAAAACTCAAAAGGAGGGAGAAGTGGAGGAGAAGAGACTGGCATGACCACATCCCATGGAGGTGCTTTCTCCTTTTCTGTCTTTCTGGAAAACATATGTACCCTCTGACAAAATTAAAAAAAAAATATATAGATATACCATAACTACCAAGATACTTTTGGATTAAATATGTAAATATAATAAATATGACAAGATTAACAGTTTTGAAATAGGTCAAGAAAAATCTAAATAAAGACTTCATTTAGCAAATTTCTTCTGCTTGTTTATCTCTGGTTTTACCATACAGTATTCTTGCTTAGAACAAGCCAAAAATGAAACAGGGTGTGTTTTTTTAAATATGAAAAACATGTATTGCAATAAAATTGAAAACTGGCTACTTGCCAGTAGCTGCATAAATTTTGGAGTAAACACATTTTCTACAGGAATGATCTGCTACAGAAATAGAAAATATTTATTAAAAGCACTAAAATAGTAAAAAAAAAAAAGTGACCATTACGTAATACAAAGATTAATTTTTCAGAAGCATAACACATATCAAATGTGTGTGTGTGTTGCCATAGGGTGCATATGCTCACCAGAGAGAGGTAGAGAGGGGGGAAGTGAGAAATCACCCCACTGGGGGGATGGCCACCCCACAACTCCTTCTCCTCCATTCTCCTCTTAGGATTTTAGGCACACACATGCTTGTGCCCAGTGTGATTCTCAAGCCATGGGGTCCAGGACTCAAACTACACACTCAGCCATGTGGGAATCCAGCACTTTAATTATACCACCTGCTGGCCCCTCAAATACTTTTTAGAGTAATTAGTTTTAATTATTTCTAGATAAAGAGTAAAAACCTGAGAAAGACCTAGCAAAACAGAAAGAATAATTTCTCATGCAGGTGTCACTTGTATGGTTATAAAATATGGTCATTGACTATAGGCCTCTTGCTATGCACACATGTTCACAAACGCCTGGGTCTCTCAGCTCTGCTGGGACGTATTTTGTTGGGGTGTGTCTGCTCACTCATACATAGGCCTCTCGTAGTCTAATAGTGGGGTTCAAAGGCACGCTATCATTTTGATGCTTCTAGCAAGAGCGAGAGACCAGCAGCTGCCTGTTTTCCTGGAAAATTCCCAGATTTTTTTTAATGAATCATTTTTATTATTTTAACTTTATTTATTTATTTCAATTTGACTAGAGAGGGATGGAGTGTGAGAGAGAGAGAAAGTGAGAAAGCAAGCTGCCAGGTCTGGGGCTCGAACCACAGTTGGCCACAGGGGAGTGAGTCCAGTGCCCTTAACCACCACACCACCTGCCGGCTCCACTTCCCAAAAGTTTCACAGAGGGTGTGTGCTAAAGCTGCCCTTGTGAATCCCTCCATCTAAAAGGTGGCATGGCCTGAAGAGTAAGGAAGAAGAAAGGAAACAACCTCCTCCCTTCCTGCCCCCCACTCTAGGCTAGATAGTATTTTGTAGATCACCTAAGAGGGAAGAGGGGAACAGTGAGGGCAACTTTGGTCCTCACTCAGGGGTAGCAGCAGTAAGCACACACAGCGTACCACAGCGGGACACAGGACTAGAAAGCAGTGAGTGGGCAGCAAGCAAAGGTGCAGGCCTGAGACAATGCAAATAAAGCCGTTAGACTAGACCCTGCCGTACGATTAGTGATCTGTAAATGTTAGCCACACAAAACCACGTCACTAAAGCACAGCTCTTAAAATTTAGTTGCATTTCTGACCAAATTTTTTAATGCAATGTTAATTTGATTTATTTATTTTTAAAGAATTCTTTATTTTTGATTTTATTTATTTATTTACTTATTTTATTTTGACCAGAGAGAGACAGAGAGAGAGAGAGAGAGAGAGAGAAAGTGAGAAAGCAAGCCACCAGGTCCAGGACTTGAACTACTGTTGGCCATGTGGGAATGTCCAGTGCCTTAACCACCACGCCACCTGCTGGTTCCCAATTATATTTATTTTAACCATAAAAATACTGGACATCTAATTTTTTTTTTTTATTATTGCCAGAAGGCGCATGTGAGCATGTGGAAAAGAGTTAAGAAGTACCTCTCCCCCTTCCCCATGGGGTGTGGTCATGCCACAATCTCTTCTCTATCCTGTCTGGCTTTGGGGTACACATGCATGCATGCACACAGACACATACATATAATCTAGCATGTTTTTCAAGCTGCCAGAGCTGGGATTTCAACTGTGGTTGGCTACGTGGGATCCTGCTCTCTTAAGTATTAGGCTATTGGGCTAGATATCACATTTTTCACTACTTTTTGGGGGGTTTTTTTGGAGATTTTTGCAATAGGACACATGCGCTTGCTGGAGAGACTGAAAGTAAGAAACGCCACAGTCCCTTCTCTCTTCTCCCCTTGGGATTTTGGGCATGTGTGCACACGTACCCTATGTGAGTTTCAAGCCTCTGGGTCTGGGACTCGAACCATGGTCAAGTTACATCATCTGCTGGTCCCACATTCTCTTTTTTGAAGTCGAAGCCTATGGGGTGGATGGCGGCGCAGTAGTACTACAGTGCTCTGCGAGGCTGGCCCCCACGGGAGGCCCCAGGTTTGCGTTGCCTCCCTGAGCTGGATGAGCATGGGTGCTTACCATCCGGGGTTGGCTGACACTGGGGTGGACTGCGGTGACAAAACCTAGTTGGGGCTACCACTCCCTCTGTCTCTTATCACTCATGGAAGAAAAAAAAAATACAAACTTAAAAAAAATGCAAGTGCACAGACTAGGGCACCCATCAGTGAGTGTAGAGGTAATGAATTTTCAGAGACTGAACGCACCTTGAAAAGCAGTACTCAGGAAATCTTGTGAGTGGGCGGCGGGCAAAGGTGAAGGCCTGAGCTGCCTTCCACTGATCGGCCCTGACAAGGACACGCGTTTTCCTGACTCTCAACGGCATCGATTAGTTTGGCCTGTTTCGTATGTTACATGAGTGTACTCACACTTCTAGGCTTAGTTTTGAACCTCCCTCTTTCTTGTATATCTTAAGGTACTAATAATGCCCACCATGTTCCTTACTCCTACCTGTGTGCAGGCGTTCTAAGTGCTTTAAAACCTTTTCTGGTTTAAGAGATAAATATTAGCTATTGTTTTCAACGTAGAGCTGAGGCAACTGAAGCTTAGAAGGAAGAAAAAAGTTTGTCCAAGATTTCATTACTCATAAATGCTGGAGCCAGGAACTGAACTTGTACCTGTTTGTTCCAAAGTTCATCCTTGTCATACTGTCCTTTTCCACCCTCATATTCCACGGCAGTGCAGTCAATGATTGGATTAAGCACTTGGGCCCTGGGGTGCAACCCTGACTTAAGCCTAATTTTACAACTTTCCCCAGCTATAACATTATGGGCAAGTTATTTACTTCTCTTTCTCTCTCTTTTTTTCTACTTCATTTTTGGAATGTGGATGACAATAGAACTAACTTTATAGGATTGTTTTAACAATGAAATGAGTTCACGGTTATAAAGTACCTAGAATAGGGCCTGGTACACAATGCCAGCACTAGTGATTATTCATTAACGTGTTACTGCATGTTCCTCAGAGGAACCCTTGGACAGGCTACAAAATAGACCATTGTGTGCGGCAGTTTACCTAACCATTCTGCCATCCCTGATTGCGTACCTGTTTTATACTGATAGGATCTTTTACTGAACATGGACACCCTGTTCCTTCTCGTTTGCATGCAGTTTTATTGTGCACTTACATGACTTTATTAGCTACGGTCTGCACATTTTGAAAGTTCATCAAAGCCATTGAGTGGCTTGGCTCTTCAGAGAAGCTTGGCCAACTGGCACTTCACTGCTGAACGGGAGGGAAATGTTTTTCCCCTGTTCTCATTTCGTATCCTGCGGAGGCAACACAGGTGGCGTGTACCAGAGAATACTTCCTTAACTGTGTACTTACACTGCTGTGTTGAGGCAGGGACACTTTCTATTACCAGAGACTAGACACATCTGCGAAGCAAATTCAAGACTGGTGTAACCTCCTCTACCTTTTGCAAAAGCATGCTGGATACCGGCACACGGCATTTTTGGAGCTTAATGATCATCTAAGGTTAATGCAGGCCTTCAGCAGTCTCATGATTAACATTTCCAAGCAGGTCATTAATCTCCAGGAAATGCTTAGTATTTTGATTTCTGTTTGTTTAATTGAGGTTCTGAATAATTTAGTAAAGAATGATTACATGAATTTGAACAAAGAAAAGACTGTTATTTCTAACATGCACAGCAGCACACCCTAGTGACCCCACTGGGTAACTGTAAGAAGTTAAAGTAATTTAGGTTTCAGAAACACAAGGTTTTTATAGATTTGTAAAGGATTTAGATCCATAAAAGAAAGTATCTTCTTGTTAAGAGGGAAAAAGTAAATGAACATAATTTTCACAATGTGGAAAAAGCTCAAATAGCTCTAAAGTAGAACACTTCTTTAGGGGAAAAAAGTCTCACTTAACAATAACATTGAGCAATATAACATTAAAATGTTTTGTTTTAATAAGAAAATATTTTCTATTTTTGCAGGTCAGAAAGGGGTCTTTGTTCGAAATAATTTCCTTTCCAGCAAAGACTGCTTTAGCTAGCATCATATATGCTTCGTATGCAGCACTGATATATTTGGTAAGTTAAAAGGATTGGAATCTAAAAATAAATGCACTTATTTTGTGGAGAGTTAAAGACAATACAATACTGCACTGTATTGTTAAGTATTATGTTCCACGGTATCTTTCACAAACAAAGGTACCAATCTATTGTTACACGAAATAATTTTATGTTAAAAATGAATTATTCTGATAGCCAAATCAATCCACCCAAAATCAATTTGCTTTAGTAACTAAAATACACTTATTTTTATAAAGATTATTACAGTTTTAAGATTTTCAGTCAAAACATTTTAGTCTTGTTATGATTGGGCTACGGGTGTTTTGTTTTAGTCATTGTGCCACTGTTGGCTTGAGTTCAGTATTCTGTAGTTTGCGGTTCATCACTTTGAGGAACACAATACTAGTGAATTTTGCATTAAAAGTAAAATATTACTTTATAAATGATAATAAATTGATTTTCTGTTAGTCACTAGCCATTTATATTTAATTTAAAAAGAAAACAAAACACTATAAGATACAAAGAGAAGGGATCAGTAGATGGTGAAACGTTTCTGTCCCTGGACTCCTGCCTAGTTGACCGTGGTTTGAGTTCCTGACTTGGCAGCTCAAAACTCACACTGGGCATGTGTGTATATGCCCAAAATCCTGAGAGAAGAATGCAGAAAAAATTGTAGCATGGCCATTCCCCCTTGGGGGTGATTTCTTGCTTTCTGTCTCTCAAGTGAGTGCCTGTGCCCAATAGCAAAATCTCTCTCTAAAAAAAAAAAAAAAAAAAAAAAAAAAGAAGAAGAAGAAGATACAAAGAGAAAAATTGCACAACTTGATAAACTACCACAAAACATATTCATCTATGTACCACCGAGGGCCAGAAACATAACATTTACCATCATTCCTGAAGCCTCTTTCTTGCCCCCTAAAATCCCTATCCTCTTCTATAAAGGTGACTTGAAATATCCTAGGCAGTTTGCCTGTTTGAATTGTATATAAATGAAATGATATGGTACATTTTTTGTTCCTGTTTGTCTTCTTTTTCTCAACATTGTCATTGCAAAATTTATTCACTGCCTGTAGCAGCAGTTTGTTCGTTTTCATTGCTGCATAGTATTCCATCGATTGACTACATCCCCACTTATTTACCAGTTCTGCTGGTGATAGACATTTGGATTCATTTCAGTTTGGGCTATTGAAAATAAGGTTGCTACAAACATTATTATACATATGCTTTGATGAGATTGCTAGGCCGTAAGGTATGCATCTGTTCATTTCTAGTAGGAATTGCCAACCAGCTTTCTAATATGTTTTTTTTTTCTTTTCTTTTTAGAGTGAGAGTTTTGCTATAGGGTGCATGTGCTCACTGGAGAGACAGAGAGACAGAAAGTGAGAGGGGCCCCACCAGGGAGGATGGCCACACCACAATCCCTTCTCCTCCATTCTCCTCTTGGGGTCTTGGGCGTGCACACACACGTGTCCAGTGTGAGTTTTCAGTTGCCGGGTCCAGGACTTGCACTGTGGTCAACTACATGAGAGTCCAGCAGTGTAACCATTATGCCATCTGCTGGTCCCCTAACACGGTTTTTGACAGCGGATTATAAGCATCTCAGTTGCTCTACATCATCACTGACACGTAGTACTTTCAATCTTTCCCATCTTATCCATTCTTATGGGTATGTAGTGGTTTTTTAACCTGTGGTTTTTTTACTTTTTTTTTTTTTTAAGATTTATTTATTTATTTATTTATTTAGGGGCCAGCAGGTGGTTTGGTGATGTTCTGAATTTTAATGTAGTCCAGTTAGCATTTTAAATTCTTGAAAAGTGCTGAATATCTTAAATGTGACTCTCATGTAAGATTGACATTCAACCTGATTGAACTCAGCTGCAAATATACTACAAAGTACACTACAAAAAATGGACAGGATGAAATGGCTATGGGGAAATAAAAACTAGACTGAAACCAAAATTTAAGTAATTTCTTAAAGGTTGTTCAAATCATCCCACACAATCTTTCATGCTACAAATTTTGTAAGTAGGTAGCGGAAACAATTTTTGGTGACCCGATAAGGGTCATATATGCATTTAAGGCCAGGAGAAGTCAGGGTTGGGATGATGGTTTTGAAAACAAAGAATGTACATGTTGGATGTGAATGCCCTCTGAGTGGAACCATGCCACGTAAATAGAGTGGTAAGTAGAGGAAAATGTGAAGAATACCAACATTTGAGGTGGTCTAAGCATGGATCACATCTCCGTGAAGGAGACAAAGACAACCATCAGAAAAGAAGGAAGACAGTCAGGAGAACCACAATCAAGGAAATAGAGACTCAGGAAGCTGTGATGGTTAAGTGCCAAGGCAAGCAGAAAAGGTCGAGTGAGATGAAGGTTCGAGGTGTCCATAAACTCTGGTAGTAAAGATACTGGGGCTAGCCAGGGTGAGGACTATTTCAGTGGCATGAAGGTAGAAGACGATAGAGACAAGCAGGTTTCAGAGTGAGCAGGAGAGGATAAAATGGAAACCATGGATGTAGACTTGGGTTTGACCAGAGGTAGCAGTCAAAAGTGAAACAAGGTCCTGGAGATTTTTAATATTTTTATTTTAGGATGGAAGATAGTCAAGTTTGTTAGGTTGTAGGGCAAGAGCCAATCAAGAGAGTTGAAGAGGTGGAGAATAATTGAGAGAGAAGATGGTCGGGTATAGATTCAAAGCAGAGATAGAGGGATACTCAGCTTGAGCAAGACCCTTCATTTTCTTTCTTTTTTTTTTTTTTTTTTGAAGAGAAATTTTTGCTATAGGGTGCATGTGCTCGCTGAACAGAAACAGAGAGAGAGAGACAGAGAAAGCGAGAACTCACTCCCCAGGAGGGATGGCCATGCTGCAGTCCCTTCTCCCTCATTCTCCTCTTGGGATTCTGGGCATGCATGCACATACACCTGGTATGAATTTTAAGCCTCAGGGTCTGGGACTCAACTGTGGTTGGCCATGTGCAAGTCCAGGGCCTTAACTACTATACCAACTGCTGGTCCAAGACCCTTCATTTTCTGAGACTGAGACAAATATGTTTAGAATGGACACAGATACAACTCTGTATGTGAAGGAAGAGAGAGTGTATCAAATGATAGAGGAATTTTCAACTTCTTTTTACATCATGGTATTCATAGGAAATGATCATATAGGGCCAGCCAGTAACCTAGTGGTTAAGGTGGCTGGATCCCACATAGCTGAGGAGTGGGTTTTTTTTAGAATTATTTTATTTAAGTTTATTTATTTATTTATTCGTTCTACTTTGACCAGAGAAGGACAAAGTGTGAGGGGTGGGAGAGTGAGAAAGCAAGCTGCCAGGTCCAGTACTCAAACCATGGTCAGTCATGTGGGAGTCCAGCACCCTTAACCACTATGCCACCTGCTGGCTCCTGTTTTCATTACTAATAACTTAAAGAGTAAGTTTAACGGACATAATTCTTCATTATTCTGAATTTTTAAAAATAATTGCTAAATTTTTATTATTATTATTATTATTATTTTCGATTTGACCAGAAAGAGACAGACAGAGAGATAGAGCAAGAAAGCAAGTCACCAGATCCAGGACTTGAACCACGGTCAGTCATGTGGTAGTCCAGCACTTTAACCACACCACTTGCTGGCCCTGGTAATTCTGAATTTTGAGGTTATTTTTCTGTCTTATTTTGACACTCCTTACAGTACTGAATGGCCTTTCGGGGATAGAGGTAGAGCACACATTTCACTTGGAAACATTGATTTATTAGCCTACCAAACGCCTGCCAAAATGTTTATATCCTTCCCACTGCACCCACAGGTAGAAGAAAATCTAGAAGGAAGAAAATGAAAACAAAAACCTATTTTTAGATAGTCACACATCTGGAGACAAATTCCATCTCTCCGAAAGGTTTCATTTAACTAAATCAGGACATAAAGATGTAACGTAATTAATGAATTGGGGGGAAAAGATGTAAAGCACATCTTTATTGAAGCATATTAGGTGTTAAACTGCTTTCTAGACTGTGATGTAGTATATTTAGAAAAAGGACTCAATCTGCCAGTGCTTATCATGTCCAGGGATCCTTAAAGGAAGTGCTTTTCTATTCTAATATGCCATTTAATGATTTTATGGTAAATATTTTATTGTACTTTTTATCTGTGGTTAGTAGCTTAAAAGGAAACTTCACCTTTTTTGTGTATTTATTTACTTTTTACTGTATAGGCGGTCTGTGTCAATGCCGTGCTGGAAAAGGTAAAGAACATTTTCCAAGAAGAAGAATCCATAAGGCAAAACAGGGAGAGGGAACATTTTAGAAAAGTCTTTTCTGAGCCTGTACTTTCAAAGCCTGTATTTTCTGAAGGTGAAATCGAAGCAAAACCTTACAGGTCACTGCCGGAGAAGCCAGACAAGATTTCGGATCGCCCCAAGCTTCTTGCCAATAAGCAGAATAAGATCCAGGTTCTACATTCTGTGTTTGACCAGCCAACTGAGATGAACGCATGAGCAAGTCTGAACACAGATATCGGTGAACAGCGCGCCACAGTTACCTGCCTAATGGCACCTCTCATTTGAAACAATGAGAACTAGTGTATATATAGTGAGTGCTTCGCCGAAAAAACAGGTGGAGGGCCTCCTACTCAAATGCCATTCTCTGGTATTTGCATGGTAGAGGAAATAAAATGAATCTGGATCTATGACTCGATAATATTTCACTTTATTTTACTTACATGATCTTTTTAATAACTAACTCATCCCTCAAAGGGTTAGACTTTACACTGTGGATTATAATATGGTCAGATTTATAATAGATTTTTGATTATATTAAAGACTTAAATATCTTTATATAGCTTTATCTGGAAGAAAAAGAACCTTATCAAAATGCTACACATTGGTGGTTAAGATGACTGGATCCCAGAACCAGCAGATGGTGGACTGATTACATTGCTGGACTCCCACAGAGTCAATTGTAGTTCGAGTCCCAGACCCAGCAGCTTAAATTCATACCAGGCACTGTGTGTGCATGCCCAAAATCCCAAGAAGAGAATGAAGGAGAAAGAATGATCATCCCCCTGGGGGGGGGGCGGTGGTTTCTCATTTTCTGTCTCTCTGTCTTGCTTTGTCTCTCTAATTAATGCATGCCCCTCTAGCAAAAATCTCTCTCTAAAAAAAAAAAAAAAAAAAAAAAGACTGGATCCCACATGGTTTACTGTGTGATTTGAGCCCTTCAGAAACACACCAGGTATGCATGTGTGCAGGCCCAACATCCTGAAAGAAGAAAGAGAAGGGATTACAACATGACCATTCCGATGAGAGGGTGCTTTCTGCTTTTCTTCTCTCTCTGGCTCTCACAGGAAAGTATGTGTCTTCTGACAAATAAAGAAAAATGCTATGTGTCATTTTCAGAGATAATAAAAGAATATTTATTTTCTATCTGCAGGCTACAGTTTGAGCCTGCCCATTATTATTATTATTATTATTATCTGCCAAAGTATATACGCACACATTAGAGAAAGACAGAGAGAGAGAGAAGGAGGAAAAAAGCACCTCCAATGTGGTGTAGTCATGCTGCAGTTCCTTCTCCATTCCTCTGCCCTGGTGGGATTTTAGGAATGCAAACACACACACACACACACACACACACACACATTTAACTGGCCCTGGGTCCTATGGTCACACACTAACTGCAAGGAGGTGCGAAAAGTATAGTGTTCAAGCCACCAGAGTGAGGATGTCAACCCTAGTCAGTCACACGGGGTCTAGCTCCCGTAACCACTAGGCTGCAGGATTGGCTCTGATTCTTCTCTAACTTGTAAACTTAGGAAAGACTTGCGATTCATAGAAGTCATAAACGTATAAAACAAAGTAGTATTTACACATCTTCATGAGAAGATTTCTTGATGTGAAACCAGGATATAATGTTACCTTTTTTATTTCCAGATTTGGAGCCACAAATTAGAATCAGAAATCAAGTCCATAGTTCTCATTACTGTCACTTGCTTCTGGGGAAAATTTGAAAAGCTTCTGTAATTGGCCCTGCAAAGCATGGTGTTTGCCTACAAGAGGTCCTTTAGTTTCTTCCATGCACTTTACATTCCAGACAGGTGTTGAGACCTGAGCCCCCTTAGTACTTGAGGTAATAGGCCGGAGTGGACCATCCCGGAGATAGTTATGTTTTCTGTACCTGGTGAGTAGCTGCTGCCGTCAACAGCATTTATAAAAAGCCCAAGCCTTGCTTATTCACAGCCTGGGTGCTGC